CTATTGAAAAATCGGGCCACGAGGTCATATTGGTACATTGTGAATATTTCAAGAATTGCATTCCCTCGGATAGTATTTATATGACTTTTTGCTTAAATTCGAAATTACTCAAAGTTGCCTTTAAAGACATCCAAAAAATTGTCTCCAAAAGTGTGTCTCAAACGACTTCGAATTATCGAATTATCGCCTGCCTTGTGAATGGGAAAAATTCATGTCTTGTTCCATCTGGCTATCAACTCTCCAGTCTTTTATACTCCGTCCAAGACCAGGAAGACATCTTCCAAGCCTTCTGAAGGAAGCGCTATTAGACATTCTATTATGATACCATTTCCCCCAGGGGCTTTTCGATTTTCATATCTCCTAGTGCTCTGGCGACTTCTTTCTTTGATATCTCTGAATTCATCTGGTCCACCGTCTCCTCCACCTGGAGGCCTTCTAGTGCAGGTACTAAGCGTTCCTGCGCTTGCTGAACTTGTTCCTGCGGTTCCAACATACTCCAAGGATCCTCATTTCCTGTGTCAGTCTCGGCCTCCTCTAACAGCGCACCTAACAGCCTCTTGAAGTGCAACAACCCTCCATCTGAGATGTCTCCCCCCATAGTCGCCTTTCTGCGTCAGTATTCATTCAAGATTTTCCCGAGTAGCGAAATACTTCTGCACTTCTCCAAAGTCCGAGCCTCACCCTCTCGAAAGTCTTTCCTCTTCCGTTTCCGGCGGTGGTGGAGGTTTCTCCTTTCTTCAACATGTCGTACCACTTTTACCCCATCTTCTGGGCTTTTCAGGGGGTCTTTCAGACAATCGAAAACAAATCCACTCCTCTGTTTCCTGTAGTCATCCCCCAGCCAGTCCGGCTCTTTGAGTTGAGTTGATGAAATGAGGGGTCAATTTATAGATCTCAGTGGGATTTTCAATTTCATATATGAGTATATCTCGATTGATCAACTTTAAAGTATCAATAAATGAAAAAAAACGGCTTTCCACTTGCGACAAAAAGAAAAAAATGGAAACGATCTGCTCCAACCTCATGAAGGTTTAGTTAAGTCACATTAATCAACCACCAACGCTCACGGATCTTTTACTTATGGATCTTTTTATAACCATTCGAATGGTTGCCGCAACACAAATTTGATTCAAAATTTTAATATATTTTAGACTAACCAGATAGAATCAAAACAGAAGATTACGTTCAATAGATAGATCATGCGGCCCGCAAAGAAATTGTTTTAAAATTTTCTCCAAAAGTTGAGTAAGAGTCGAGATATCGTATTCCTCAGCAAGTGTTATTTACGATTTTTTCACCGAAAATTGAAGTTAAATCCGACAAAGTGTTTGCTCGAGATTTTCGCTCCACTCAAGCGACCTAAAGAAAATTACTAATTTGAATATGCACTGATGAAAGAAGTACTTCTTTGAAATGTAATTACTAATGATAAGCAGCTCAACATATTGTAAGTGCAAATATTTCTTGAGCCAAGTAATTTATTACCTGACGTTCATATTTATTTTTTCACAAATTTATTTTGTATTCACTGGTATCGGGTAAAAATAAAGGCATTTTTCGCAGGATTTAGAGATGAAAATGAGTTTCTCTTAGAATCTTCTTCCAAGTTTCATTATTAAAACTGAATTTAAAATCCTTAAAATTATTAGTATAGAATAGAAAATTGAAGAAATACATAAAAACATTAAGGAAGACTGTTTTTTATTACTCATTTTATGATTTTATTATTTAATGTTGGAAAAAACCTGAAATTTTATATTTCTTCTTCTACTTTTTTCTTTCTATACTGTGAGAAAAAAATGTCGTCTGCCAAAAATATGTATTACCCACAAGAAAATATATTTGGAATTAATAAATCTTATCGGAGTATTTATACAGTGATTACCAAATTTACTGGTGTGAAGAAAATATAATTGAAAAAAAAGATTCCTTAGTGTAGATACTATTTTCTTATTTTCATTTCAGTCCATATTTTCTGATGACCTATCGATGAGACATCGACAAACCTTGGTCGGTTGGGACACTTTCCGTTCAAGGACAATGGTTGCCCTGATGATCCTTTTCATTCTTTGGGCCCTTATTTACTTTCCATTAATATCAATTCTGTGAAACACCAAAACA